TTTATGGTTTTCTCCTTATTTTTCACCTCAATATTCTCTCCAGAAAACAATTTTCCTTTGCTGAGTATAAATTTGGGTAGCCATTGAGAGATGACATCAAAATTCACCTTTTCTTATCCTCTCACTTCTTTATTCTCACATCCTTTTCAAATAGTCACACTGCTACAAAAAAAAGCACAATTTATGTCTGTAGTAACATGACTTTTCTTAGAAAAACAGAAATCAGTTAACAAAGGTTTTAAATCAGTATGGCAAAAAAAAAAACAACAACAAAAAACAACCCAAAAAAGACCCCCAAACAAACCAAACCAAACCAAACCAGTATCCTTTAAGGAAATCTCACACCTCAGTTTCGCAGCCTTGAACTTAAATTGTGTCTTACACTGACAGTAGAGTTGAGCTCTGAATTACTAAGAGTTTTCCATCGCAAACTTGAATACCGTGTGTGCCGCCTGCCATGCAAAGACAGCCAGGGAGCATGCGAGAGCTACGCCAACACGGGAGAGGGCGACGGCTGAGGCCACTGCATGGGAGTGGCACCCTCGGAATAGGGGAGGTGACGCTAGCACACAGTTTCTCATTCTTATGAAAGGTCCACTTGAGATTGAAATCCACTCACTGTTGTAGCCACTGCTGCTGCTAGCCTCTGCCGGCGCCGAGTTGTGCTGAACTGGCCCTTCGCAGATGGCCCTTCCTGACAGTGAATGAGAGAAGAGGAGGGAGGAGAAAACATGGGGTGGGGGAGGGAGAGGACAGGAGATGGGAGGATGAAAGATAATCAGACAAGGGAGAGGGAGAATTTTTAACTGAAGTTGATTTTTGCTCAATCTTAGCATTGAAAAGCTCGAAGGGGTATTCGTGTGGTGAGAGAAATTTATCATTCTCACGACAGAACACCCAAACACTTAAATTTATTCGCTGAATATAGGCCTTACCCTAATAGGAGATGGGAAGTTATGAATTGATGAACAGCTTACCATTTCAAGGTAAAATAAATGTACATACTCTTTTATTCATGCAATGCCATGTTATATGAAGTTGAAAGGCAGTCAATAAATGGAAGCAAAGAAAAAAATAAGTTCAGGAACAAGTGATTAAATAAACAATGCACAGAGGCTAAAACAAACAGGTTGTAATGAGAGTCCAACTCCCCATTTTTTCTCCTACTATAAAGTCTCTGGGATTCAATATTAAGAATGGTGTTGGGATTTTTTCAGGTTGAAGAATTTTCCAAGGAGGAAGCCAGTCTCAATGTCCACAGTGTGTTGGAATAACACCTACAAAACTCAACTATGGAAATTTGAAAGCGTAAGTTTCATTTAGTGATGTGTACCTATGCATAAACCAGTAGAAGAATTCTAGAGATTCCTTTCTTTCTCTTTTTTGGTGGACAGGATTAAGGGATAATAACATTTCCTTCTAATCAATTCAACTTTGCCTGCACTTGACAAACCCTAACTCTTCAAGGCTGTGAGCAATAATCTCAGTTCCAATTAACTGAAACTAAGAGTCACCTAACAATCCTGTCTGAGGGGGGAAAAAAACCCAACAGCATAGCTGTGTTAATCTTTTCAAAACAAGAGAAATAGTTTAAATTCTTATATCTCTAATCCTCTTTAAATTTTCCAAATTACATTCACATTTATCTTCCACCTTCATAAATCTTCTGTGTACATATATGAATATGTTTATTACACACAAACACACATACATAGATAACCTGTTTTACACAAAATGTTTTCTATACAAAATCCCTTTATGTCTAATGCAGAAAAAAAAAAAAGGAGAAAGAACTATTTTTACCCCTCAGTGTAATCTGAGCTTCTGTGAGATCTAGGTTAGCTACACATGAATGACATCAGCTCAGTTATCTGCTATCCCATACTGACTACTAGTCCTCATTCTCTCCAATACTCAGGGATCTAGTATTTAATTCATGCTACTAGCAACATAGGAAGTTTAGCCGCAGTCTCTTTTGTAGCAATCCTTATAAAATCATTCTCTTCCTGCCCTCCTCTACCTCATTTAAAACATAACCAAATTGTTTCTGCATAATAGTGATACTGAGATTGTTTATCAGAACCAGAAATTTGAAGCTGGGGACACAGGAAGTATTTTTTCTGAAAGGTAATTCCACAGAGCCTTCTAGGACAACTGTTGCCTTCAGTGAATTACACAATGGATTCCTGAGCTAGCTTCCCAGTAGCTTTTAGTAGAAATATGGCCATATGGGTCCAAAATTTAACCTTCACATTCAAATCAACAGCATAATCTAACTCAGGTGAAAATAAGCAATGAAACATCCAGTATAACATGCTCATCATTTCTACTTCCCTAAGGTCAATTTTTAAAATAATCTATTTTATAATTATTTCAAAATTATAACTCTACGGAATGCTGAATACGAAGTTCAATAAAACAACACCCACAATAACAGCAGCAGTGACAATAACCACCATGACCACCACCAGACAGTCTAGGTCCCTTCACACATGGCTGGTGGACTAAAAGTTCCAGACTAGAGAGGGGATGAAAAATAAGCCATTTACTACAAAAAGTCTCTCCAGTTGGCCACAACAATGACCATCCGAGAAAGTGGTTCAAGTAATGAAATGATTATGGGCTCAAAACGAATACTGAGCACCATGAGATGGGATTCTAATGGTCAAGAAACATTTAAAGCAGGAGGGAAAACCTGTGCCTTAGGGAGAAGGTGGTGGGTATGTTTAATCTACTACAGTAAAAACAAATGCTATGCCTTTCTGTGGGTAAAATACTGATAATGTTTAGAGCAGTCACAGTCATCACTGGCTGGTTTTATAGTTCCCCAGCCAAGAGTGCGTGCTGAAGAAACTTCAAGTGACTTCGCAGTGGTAGAGAATGGGCATCCTGAGGGATCCTGGAAGGCATGTTGGTTTGGGTTGTTAGTCTAGGGATGGTACTAAATTCTGCAGCATTCACCCTATGATCCTTTGTCTGGCCAGTTCAAGTGCAAGTAAGGTTTCTCTGGGAATGATTAATAGCTTATTGCCACCTCTCAGGCTAGTTGTTTCCATTGGAGTTGGAACTAAATCTCCTACTTTAGAAAGTTTAATGTTTTCTTTGAGTGTGGGGATGAGATGATTTCAATTTCCCCCCAAATAATTAAACCAGAATCACAAGGGCCATTTTGTTACTCCCTGGCAATACAAAAACAAGGCAAAATAGCATAAACAAAAATGTAAGAACAAACAAACCATCCAAAAATGTGACAGGAAGATCAATGAAGCCTATTTCCCTGCTTTTTTAGCAATGTCTTTTGATGACTGAAAAGATTTTCATAAACTCTCCGCACGCTGAAAAGCACAGTAACTAGGAGGGCTATTCAGAGTTGCATTCTGTTTCCTTCAAAAAAAAACCTGAGCGATATGGAGGCCACAGTGGGCCTTGCTACCACAGCAGAGCAGCCAGGGGCACTCACTCAGACTCACTGAGGACGAACCTGCTCCAGACCACAGCTGTGAATGGGAATCTGTTTACCCATATCTTATAAAAACAAGATTGAATTGATATCTATCCACAAATGTGTATGTTCTTATGATGCTGGCCTTCTTCAATTATTTTGCTTATAATGGTTCTTTTTTCCTGGCTATGATAACCATAGATTCCATGCTTAAAAACAAAAAACTCAAAACTCACAAAACTAGACAATCACACACTCAAAAGACATGAAACCGCCAAAAGCAATTTTAGGTAATCTTCTTGTGAAGTCATCTGGCACATCTATCTCTACAGTATTAATTTTCTGAATAGAAGGAAAAACACACAAGCACATACTGAACAAAAGACCACAAAAAATTGTGTTCATAGAATGTGGATATTCTAAATAAAAAACCATGGATCTTTAATTCTTGTGAAAATTTATTTTCAAATACAGCAGATTAGCCAGCAAAGCAACAGTTTGTTATTTACACATTCAGAATTACAACACAAAGAATGTTACCAATAAAATCGGAATTAAGGAAGAATTATTATTCTTACTTAAAAGACACTGAAGAATTCTAAAAAGCAGTTCCTTTACTACCTTTGTGTTAGAATATAGATTGATTTATAGTGTAATAAAAAGAAATGCAAAATCATAAGTCTAATTTTGATTGTGCAGGGAAGAGTTATTTATAATACAAAGCTAGGATTGGAGTAGAAGAAATTCTAGTTTAAAGATCTGAAAGTAGCATGAATTTTGACATAAAAGGTTTTAGGCATTTACCATATTTCATATCATTGCGATGTAATGTGATAAGAGGATCTTAATTTAAAAATTTAAAACTATTCATTCAACTAAATAGCTAATTCAAAATGAATTTCAAGAAAATTTATTAGGAGCCATTAAGAATTCAGTTGAGATTTTAAGTGATTGTTGATGGCCAATAGTATCTATTTTTGTAGAAGCATAGAATTTTAGAGTTGAAAGGGAACTCAGAGATCATTAAGTCAACTATCATCACTTTACCCAGCAGCTAATGGAAGTCCAGAAAATTTAACAGAAATGCATGAGATTATACTGCCAGGAAATCACAGTGATTAGACTAGAACCCAAGTTTGTTAATTTCCAGCTTATTGCAATCGTCACTTATTGATAGATACAAGTTTGGACAAAGTTAATACATAAAAGGCTCTTTTAAAATCTAGTATTTATAAATGAATGTTCATTACAACCCATTTGATTTTCAGTATAAATTTTTAAGGTGACTTTTTGTTAAAATATGTTTAATGGTCCAGAGACCATAACTGAGAATGAAAATGCCACTTTGCAGCCATATTACATAATTTTAACTTCTCTTTTAAATTCTTTTTTACTCCTGCCAGAATAAGAATAGATTTCTTGCTATTTTAGATAATATAACTCACTCTGAAAAGCACTAGCTTCAAAGTAGTTATAAGCTGCTTTAAACTTTTTAACTTCTATGAACTGATGATATATAAAGACTAGCATATTAAAAATATATAAAAATATGAATGAAGGAAAAGTAAAGTCTGTACCTGCAGTTGTATTTTTGTGTCTTTGCTGACACTTTTTGTTCTCCATCGTCTTGTGACCCGCTTGTCTTTCTTTGAAATATCTACACAGTTAGCCTATGTTACACAAACAGTTAAAAGCAACAAAGTATTTTTAAGTTAACACAGACGATACAGGCATAGACAAAGAGAGCACAGCAAGTTAGTAAAGAATCATTGTTAGACGCCTAAAGCAAACTGGCCAGGAGATAAAGGCATAACTGATGCACAGTGGGCATTAAAAGCAGAGACAAAAACTTAATCATAAAACATATTTTTCTGCTATACAAAATGAAAACAGGAATAGAGATCTTTAGCATTTTTCCTACATGAAAAGACAGTAATAATTCTGAGAGGATCTAACTTATAGCTTCACAACTATTATTTCTAACACAACACAAACGTGGAAGAATGACTCAGATATTTACTTACTGGAGTTAGTTTGTATTTCAATGTAAGACATTTCAAAAAGACATCTTAATTAACACAATGACATCAAGATTCAAAAACATTAAGAATAACTCCAGAATATAAACTAACCTGTGCTGTAGTTATTGTCCTTTAAACGTTACCTTATATATTCACAGAACAATCCAGTAAAACTTCTGAGTGAATATCTTAAGGTCCTTTGACCAGCAGCAATAATATGTTTACCTGCATGTCAGTAAAGTTAGGTGCTGACTGAGTTCTCTGAAGTATTTCCAAATTTTGCAGGAGTTTGCTAAGTTCCACGAGGTTTGACTGGCAGTGTGCAAGGTCTAATACAAATCAGAAATAAGAACATGTTAGAACTGGGCAGGGAGAGGTGGTGGTGGTAATATAAGGCAGTCTATCCAAATTATGTATTTGCATAGATCAGGAAGATGCATGTTTACAGAACAATGATACTGACAAATCAAAGAGAACAGACCCTTCTCTGGTTTAGAACCATAAAATCACTGATTATTTATTGAATTACTTTAAAGCCCACTCTTACAAATGAACAGTTATTAGTGTAGAGAGTCATTAAAGTCTCAGTGAAATTGGATGTGCCCATTTTCCTGCTGAAGAGGCCTCTGTCACCTTAGAAGCACCCTCAAGAGAACTTCAGCAGTTGTATGGTTTTGTTATTAGAAACCTGTCTGCCTGCTCCTAAAATAGTTTACAAGGTGGCTGCCTGGAATTTGGGTGGAGTCAAAGTCAAGTTCAGAAAAATAAGATCAAAGTCAAGATGAACATATTTATCTGTAATTGAGCTCACTAACAATGTTGCAGTGATTTCTTTAAAATCTATTAGAGACATACTAAACAAAATCAGATATTCTCAAAGTGTGTTCCCTGGACTAGCAGCAACAGCATCACTTGGGTATGAAATTCCTTCTGCTTGAATGAGTTTCTTCATTCTGTTTAGAACGAAGAAATGACTTCTAAACTAAAAAACAACTTTGGGAGGTGTACTTGAAAACAGTTTTTAAAGATGTGCATACCAAAAAAATACCACTCAAAAACTGACTTTGTGAAATTACAGTCAAGAATGTTGAGTTTTAGTATTACATATTCATTATTTTAATTATTAATTAATTATTATCATATTTACAACATGGCTCCCAGTTATGTGATAACTTTTACATGTGTACTGTTTAGTAGAGACTGCAATAGGGCACGTCTATGAATCTGTTATATCATAAAGTGGTTTTTCCTATTTTTGTAGCCAGTTGGTAAAAATTTCAATTATATTATCTCTGTTTCTCATTAAATCTCAAAGGTCTGAATTGTTACGGATACGGTACAGGCAACAAAATATCACTGTTAGGTTGCAGCTAAGGATTAGCTGGGTCAAAAAGCATAGATAGTTGTGTTTGGGGATTTTTGACATTTTTGGTGGGTTTTTTGCTGCATATAAAATAAAATAGATGGCTAACTGCTATGAGGGTCTTTATCAGGACTCAGGATCTCTGCACACTTGACAGAGAGGAGGGCAGCAGCAATACATTGGGTCCAGGTCTCTTCCAGGTCCCTTCTCTTGGCAGCATCTGCCTTAGGGTGGAGACTGGGTGGCTGCTCAAGTGCGGCTGTTGATCTTCCAGGGAACTCTGGGCCATCAGTGGCCTTTGAATTCCTTAAGAGAGGAAATCACCCAGTGGAGGTGGTGGAAGAAAGTGCTAAGGCGGCTGGTGCCCTTCCGCCACCAACCCCCTTTGCAGGGGAGGCAGCACGTTTGTACTCTTCTCATTTCCCCCACAGAGAAAATAAGGTGAGTGGCTTGGAAGGGTGGAAATACAGACGACAAAAGGGAAGGAAGGAATGAGGGAGAAAACAATGCCAATTGGAAGGGAGGGGTTAGAAGGAAAAGGAGAAAGGAGATGGCTGAAGAGACCTATATTTTAACTGGCCTTTTAAAGAACAAAACTACATCACAAGCATTGTGCTGGGAGGGACATTGTCTAACATTACCTACCCACTGAGCCTTCTATCCAGTAAATATTACATTCATACTTCTTAATAATCGTGATTATTCTACACAAATGGTACCTGTAGTGTAGCACAGAAATCTAGAAATGGGGCTTAAAACCCTTTCTAACAGAATGGAAAGAGAACTTGATAAATGAACTCAATTCAAGGTAAAATCACCCAAAACTAGGAGTCGGAAGTCTCAGCTGCAGTATGCTCGAGTGGTAACAGTACCAGCCACCCTCTTACCTTCCCGATGGAAGTAGCAACTGAATGGGGGACAAGACAATTCTTTGCAAACCAGAAATCGTCTTCATGGAGTATTAATTGCACTAGGCTTAATAATACTTCTGGGACTGTAACGTGGAACAAGCCACACCATGCCTTGACATTTCTATCATTTAAAATATGGAAGAAATCCTCGGCTGAATTTCACCGCTCGCCTAAGTGTACACCTGGGTGTAAGGAATACAAAGATTTGCCCAAGACAATAAAAACATCTTTAAAAAAATAAATCTCTAGAATTTCAATAAATTAAGATTAAATCTAATTTCAGAATCTGGGAAAAAGGGAAAATTATGCCAAGAAAGGACTCCTGAGATAGTTTATAATAGTAAAAAATTAAAAACTTAAGTATCTAGCAGTTTACTTATTTTCTCAACATCTCTACCTTGTTCCAAAAAGAAACATGTGACCCAACTGTGGAATGATAAAATAAATTAAGGTATATTTAAAAATATCCATTTACTATTTCATTTAGGTACCACTGATTGGGAAGACATTATGCGCCCAGCACAGTTCTAAGCACAGGGAATGCAGCAATCAAGTAAGATTCACGGAATTTACATTCTGGTTTAAAACAATTACACAATAATCTATATGTTGAACTATATGTATCCATCTTTAATGATGGCATATACTGGTACATAAGGATAGCATATAGATTATTAGCTTAATGTTTTGTTTCTACGGGAAAAAAACATTCTCCAAGAGCCAAGCAATTCCCTTACATATTTGAGAAGATCTGGTTTGAGAGAAGTCCAGATCTATGAATAGCTATTCTCTCTAAGTATTAGAACTATAAATGTGATATATTATGGGTTCAAGAGGATGCTATATAATGAACTTCTGAAATGCAACCAACCTCAATATTGTAGACTCTATGAAATGATCGGGATAGACCAAAAAAAGTGCTGTGGGAGTTTAGGAAATGAGCAGTTACTGTGGTTTGAGGTCATCAGAGCAGACTTAAAAGAGACAGAAGAAACTTTTGTGGGTCTGGAGGATTGATGACAAGGAGTCAGCAAAATAGGAAGGTGGAGAAGGGCAGAGAGGGCACTGCAGGTTGGGAAGAACAGCTTATGCAAAAGCATGGAGGCAGGAATATGCAAGTATGTTCAGGAAATAGCAAATAAGTTTAGATGGGCCTATGACAGCAAGGTTGAAAGGGCAGGCAGGGACAGAGAGCTGAAAGCTGAATGTTAAGTGCCCGGCCAAGTAGTCTGGACTAGAGCCCAAAAGCTCATGAAAGACCACTTGAAGGGATTTTTGCAAAAAGTTATTTTAAGAAATAGTGGTCTTGAGCGAATATTATTTGTAGTGAACAAAGAATTGGCTCTGAAGTTAGTCAAATGTAGATTAGCTGGACTCCCAGCCTCTCCACCATGGCAGCTATGCAATCAGTCTTGGGCAGATTCCTCAGCCTCCATGCATTTCACTTTCCTCATCTGCAAAGTGGGGACAGGAGTAATACCTACGTCTCATAACCGAGGGCAGTGGGATAATGCCTGCTCAATGCTGGCACCGGCTGCAAACATGTTCAAGAACAGTAATGTCCCAGGAGCCTCTGAAACAATGGAGCCACACAGCAGGAGACTGAGAGTGAGGGTAGCAATCAGAGGCTGGGCAAAGGGTGGGCCTGAGTTAGGACATCGGAAATGGAATTTCAGAGGAAGGGGAGGTGAGGGGGAGGGGAGACAGGGGAAGTCTTCAAAGAAATGACAGAGCTCAGTCTCAGCTGGATGAACAGGCTGAGTGGGTTAAAGACTACCCTGAGGTTTCAGGAGGGGTATGACAGCAGTACTGACAGAAACAGGGAAGTCCAGGAGCTGGGAGCATTTTCATGGAGGAGACAGAGAGTCTGATTTTAGACAGGCTGAGAAGAGCGTGTGACAGAGTGTGGAGAAGGGTCAACAGCAAGGGAGAGGGTGGGACTACAGCACAGGTGGGATACAGAGGTCTGAGATTTAAAGAGTTTCCAGCCTTTTTGAGAGAAATGTGGTGCATATGGTAAGACCGCCTAAATTTGAATCCCACCTTCACCATGACTGGCTGTGTGAACTTGGTCAAAGTGAGCTAACTTCTCTGTACCTAAGTTTTCTCACCTGCAAAATGGAGTTGGAAGGATTGAATGAGTTGATGCATATAAAACACCTAGAATAGTGCCTGCTGCACAGGAAGTCTGCAGTACCTATTAACTTCCCCCACAGCCACTGCCACTACCACCACCACCATCATCATTATCATTACCACCACTACCACCACCACCGTCACCACTGTTATCATCAAAAGAGAGATTGCAGTTGAAACTCTAAGCATGCCTATCATCTCCAAAGTACAGAGCACAGTCATTAGGATCAAGTTGGTCACGATCAAGCTCCAGCTCTGACTCTCATTACTATTACTGAAACTAAAAGCAAAGACTGAATCTTGATCACCCCCACAACCAAGGCTGCCCAGAAGGGAATCCCAGTGAAGCAGAGGAGGAGCAGTCAAAGAAAAAGGAAAACTTCACGGGGCCTAAAAGACGAGGTTCATTAGAGAAAGTCCTGCAGGGCGGGTCAGAGGATGAGGCTTGAGAACACAGCATAAATCAGATGGCCTCCTGCTGCCAAGAATGCTTTTTCCATAGAACGAAAAAGGCAAAGTAAAATTATGGGTGAGAAGCTGGAGTCTGCAGGCTGGGGCAGGAATGAGTGAAGCGGGAAAGACTTCGGTTGTTTCATTATCGCACTAAATCCTGAAGGAGAACAGAATGGCAGGACAGAGGACACAGGCAGAGCAGTCAGGATGGGGGGCAGGAGGACCACCCCGAGACTGGGGAGAGGGCCCAGGGATGGGCCACAGAGGATTCTGAAGCACACAGGGCGACAAATACATCCCCCAGCAGCCAGGGGCTTCTTGGCATCAAAGTCAATGTCTATTTATTTTTATCAGATGAATAGATTCTGTCCCAGTAGACTGTGTCAATCTTTTCAACAATGGAGGTGGCCACGTTAAATGCCACAAGCATGTGTGAAACGGCAGAAACTAGAGGAGAGGCTGAACTGTCCAGAGTGAGCACTGAGGCAAGCCTACAGTGTTCCAGGGAGTGAAGCTCAGCTTCTTTTCCCAACCTGAGTCTATTAAAGTCAAAGTAAAGTCTATGCGTTTTGTGAATGTATCCAAGTAAGATCCTTTTAATGGGATGTCAGCTGGACACACTTTATGAATATAATGGCTCCCTTAAAACCATATTTTCACATAAACATTGAGTTTGAGATGTGAAGACAGCTAATAAAAATGTTGCTGACTGAGTTCATGTATGTGTAGAGCAAGAAAAATTGGTTGGGGCATGAACACAGATAGCCAAATTTCAACTTTTCTAAGCAAGGACATAAAATAGTCTAACATATCCTTTCACCATAGTTTCATAAAAGAAAAAATTTTAATATTAAAAAAGTTACACCCAGGGTGGGGGTGGGTATAGCTCAGTGGTAGAGTGTGTGCTTAGCATACACAAGGTCCTGGGTTCAATCCCTAGCACCTCCATTTAAATCAATCAACCAACCAACCAACCAATCAACCTAATTGCATACCCCCTCAAAAAAAATAGAAAAAAAGAAAGTGTTTTTTAAAATAAGGCCGAACATCATCTCAAAATAACTTTTAAAATTAAACCTAGCCTTATTAAATACTTGTTATATCGTTGGTTTTCTTTTTTCATTTTTGAAGGTCAAATGAAAACTGTCTCACAGAGTGGAAATGGTCTGCAGATCCAGTTTGGACGAATGGGCTCAGGCTAATCACAAGAAAGAAGAAAGTTTCTGCAGATTAAGAGGCTCAGAGATGGTGCAGCGAAGGAATCGTGTATTAGTGCAGAAGATTTAATAACCGATTCCTGGCGGAACACCACTACCAGGTAACTGGGGATGTAAGATGCAGTATACGTTTGCTCTTTATCGCCAGCAGCTGGGAAACAGGAAGTTTGTTCATGGGCAAGATGGAGCAGCAGAGAAGGCAGCTGTGGCAGGGACCTAGCCGACTGTCAAGAGCGAGGGTGGAGGGTGCTCTGGAGGTAGCACTCAGCTGTGTGATCCCCCCAGGGTTCAGGGTGCGGGAGGCTAACCAAGCCAGAAGGGAGCTGGTAATGCGATGAGGGAGAGCACTGTAGTATGTGGCAGTCGGGGTAGGGGCGAAACCCTATTAAATTGTGAGGATGCAGGAGAACAGACAGGTAAGAAGCCCTAGTCATGGCAAGGAGAAGATCTAGGGTATAAACAGAAGAAGAAAGAAAGATGGAGGCAATCAAGGGGGCTGGGAGGTGGGGAAGGTGAAAAGTGCAGTACCCACCCACAATCTGCCCCTTTTGTGTCTGTTTCTCTGGCTCAACCTGAGAGCCCACCCCGGGCAAGAACTAACCTTCTGCACACCTGTCCATTTCTTCCGAGTCCTGTAGCCAGGCTGCCACTTTGCTCTGCCCGGTCGTGCAGGTTGCAGGGAGGCTGTTGCTGCATGGTAAAGGGGACTGCCATGGAAAGCTGTTTAGGGGCACCTATGGTGAACAAAGGAAGAGTTTCGTTAAGCAGAAACAGTACATTTAAGTCACTAAAAAGAAGACAAGCATCCTCAAATTGACATTAAAAAAGAGAGGAAAAAGGGTACACTCAAAATATGTAAGAAGCCTCTTGGCTAAACGTGGTATGAGCTCAGTGAGGCCAAAATTCATCAGCAATAATGGCACTCATTAAGCTGCCATCTCTACCACACAGCAGAGGGGAGCTCATTCAAGTCCGTTAGATCTCAAACCCACGAGGACCTACCAACTCAAATTTTCAATAGTTTTGAATTTCTTAGTTAAGTTGTCCTTCTTCCAGCAGTCTGAACTCATGATAGAATGCCTTTCCTTCCCAAAAGCTTTCAGTACTCTGTAACCAACTCACGGTCTCATCAGCCACTTATGTTTCTTAAATACGTTATTCACCAGCAAGCAACTTCGCCATGCTCTGAAAGCACATTGAAAACTGTAACATATAAAACAGCAATCTTGGCCAGTTATTATTATCTATAGCTGACCGACTTTCCATTAAAAGGGATTTTATGTGAAATAAATAAAAGTTGTATGATGTATATACATACTAAAATGATGGCAGTAAACACTCAGTGAAAAAAAGCAGAAACTTATTTCCCCCAAAGCCAAAACAACTTTAAAATTCCATATTTGACTTTAATATTCAATTACAACTGATTTTGTCTCTTCTACATCACAACAAAGTGAAGGACGCACATACTTAGCAAACCCAGACTTATTACCTGCACAGGGCCACAAACCAATTAAAATTCAGGAGTCTCATAATTTGATGCTTAGAATGCAAGCTAAGTGATAAAAAGCTCTTTTCACTCTTTATTGCATTTTGATACATGTAATGGAAATCTTTCACCAAGTTAGATCTCAGAGGTGTGTCATTTGTAACTAGAGCAATAGATCTAGGAAAACCAGCGTTGAAGTGCTTTCTTATTCCAAGGCAAACAGTGGGGAGGATTTGGTTTCAGTTCTCCATTCTCAGATGTCACCCAAGTTATTTAATAAATAACACAAGGGATGAAAACAATACATCTTTTATCAACACTCTGTGCCAAAGACACAGGCAGAAGCTGGAAGAATCAAAGGATTAAACATTTATATTTTTTAAATATCCATCTGGGATACATTTCTTATTTAATTTGGACTAACTCTGGGATTCATTCTATTTTGTGCTGAGAACACAGGAGGCCTAGAGAAACTTGGGGACTATCTTGAGCATCTTGCATTAGATCATTGAGTTTCCTTTCATTTCAGAAGTGGTTAGTATTAGGGTTCCCCTAACACCCTGTTCCTAGGAGAGATATTCCAGAACGAAATAAGGTTTGACAGCCTTGTGACATACAATTAATGGGACTTAACAAAAGTTAGTTGGGAGAAAATTTTTGCAAATGAAACCGACAAAGGCTTGATCTCCAGAATATATAAGCAGCTCATACGACTTAATAAGAAAAAAAAAAACAACCCAATCCAAAAATGGGCAAAAGACCTAAACAAGAATTCTCTAAGGAAGAAATACAAATGATCAACAGGCACATGAAAAAATGCTCAATATCACTAATTATCAGAGAAATGCAAACAAAACTACAATGAGGTATCACCTCACACCAGTCAGAATGGCCATCATTTAAAAGTCCACAAATGACAAATGCTGGAGAGGCTGTGGAGCAAAGGGAATCCTCTTACACTGCTGGTGGGAATGCAGTTTGGTGCAGCCACTGTGGAAAACAGTATGGAGATTCCTCAAAAGATTAGGAATACACTTACCATATGACCCAGGAATCCCACTCCTGGGCATATATCCAGAAGGAACCCTACTTCAAAATGACACCTGCACCCCAGTGTTCATAGCAGCACTATTTACAATAGCCAAGACATGGAAACAGCCTAAATGACCATCGACAGATGACTGGATAAAGAAGATGTGGTATATTTATACAATGGAATACTATTCAGCCATAAAAACCGACAACATAACGCTATTTGCAGCAACATGGATGTTCCTGGAGAATGTCATTCTAAGTGAAGTAAGCCAGAAAGAGAAAGAAAAATACCATATGAGATCATTCACATGTGGAATCTAAAAAGAAAACCAATATAAATACAAAACAGAAACAGACTCACAGACATAACATACAAACTTGTGGTTGCCAAGGGGGCGGGGGGTGGGAAGGGACAGATTGGGATTTCAAAATGTAGAACAGATAAACAAGATTATATTGTATAGCACAGGGAAATATATACAAGATCTTGTGGTAGCTCACAGCAAAAAACAATGTGACAATGAATATATATGTATGTTCATGTATAACTGAAAAATTGTGCTCTACACTGGAATTTGACACAACATTGTAAAATGACTATTACTCAATAAAAAAAAGTTAAAAAAATTAGTTAAGTAATTCCACTGAAATAGCAAAAACTAACTTCATTTCATCCAATTTGCTTACTCTCACAGGTATTTCACGAGGTTTTTCAATGCTTTGCAAAGGAAACTTGGATATATGTTATTACATACATCCCTATTAAGAAAACAGAAAAACGAAATCTTCGCTGAAACACACTTGAACCCAACTCCTTGTGGCAGCCAGTTATTCACAGATGTCTCTAGTCTCAGTATCAGGTGCCAAGTGAGAAGCTGGAAGACCTCTGGGCAGTGTAATGTGGCCATGGTTCAGAAAACTTAATTATTGAATCAAAGGCAGAAACAGCTGTCTCCCTGCCTATTGTTTTAACTTTGATTTTTAATGGGAAACACCTCTAGCTTTTCAGCAATACAGAAAAAGAACTCTTAATACAGCCCAAAGAACAGCTTCAGCCTCCCTTAATCTGGTACTTGGTATAATGGAAAAGACACTGATTTTGGAAACAGAGATGAGGATTCAGAGCTTGGCTCAGCTATTTAATGTCTATGTAACTTCCAGAGAAAATTCTTTACTATCTCTGAACTTTGGATATATTAAAAATTAGAAATGAATGAATGTTAAATGCTTAACATAGTGCCTGGCCATTTGAAAGGGCCACTACTTACTGTCACATTCTCTAGCCCACTTGTTTAACCTCGTGAGGAATGTCACTGGTCTCTCTCATGGTCCTGTATATACTACAGCTCAAGGAACAAAAGCAAGTTTCATGTTCAAAACTTTGTGGTCTTCTTATTACCACCAAAGAAGACATCAATTTGTAGGTGCTGATAAACCCAATCTTCACTCTACTTTCTAATATACCTACAAAGCCATATAAAATTAAGATGAAAGGAACAGTAACTGTTAATTCCCTTGGTGACCCACATTTCCACCTAGTCTACACTTGTAAATAACTTTGATGCTAAATGTCACTATTGTCTTCTGAGGGTTAGTTTACGAGCAAATCTTCTCTTACTGGTTTGTCAAATGAGACTCCATTAACATGTTTGCATAATTTTCCAAGCAATTTCTGGGCTGATTTTTATATAACAGTCATACCTTTCCATCCACAACAGAAACATTAGCAGCCGGTGAGGATTCAGCTGTGGAGGTTGAAGGAAATATGTGAAAACTAGCATCTCTTGGTGATCTCACAATTTCGTTCTGCCGATACAATCGATGATGGCGCAGTTTGGAGACCCACGTGTCAAACCAGTCCTGGGATTTCACCTAAAACAAAGAATAAGAGAGGCAGGTGATGGCGAAACAGATCTCCTGTTTACCACTGGTACAGGCAAGAGATTTCCCTTGATATTGGCAGAGAAACTGTTGAAAAGTTACTTTACCTTCAAATGATAGATGTGTTCTTCTGTGTCAAGATCTATTCTCCGAGCTTTCTTTTTAATTGACATAACAGAGAGTCCGACATCAATGCTTCCATGGACCTTCCCTTTTTGAATCTGAAATCAAAAGACTAGTAAATAGCCTGGCAGGATGTGTGATTTGATATGTCTTTGTGTTGCAGTGGAGCTTAATGTAATCTTTAACTTATCTATAGGAGATGGAATAACACATTTCCTTTACAAAGAAGATCTAATGGCTGAGGTTCTGAAGTTAAGGTCCTTAATCTGAGGACAGCTGAAGTTGCAGTGAGTTCACACCAATTTCAATAAGTAAGACTATTCATTTCTTATTGCTGCTTTTGGCATAACTATTATGTCAAGTCTTCATAATTCTAGATCACACAGTTTATAGCCTAAAAAAGATATATTTACTGGTTCCTAAAATAACTAGGGTCAGTCTTTGACCACAACCCAGAACATCCCCAAGTAATCAGTCAGAAGACAGCTGCTGGGGGAGAATGGGGCAGCTGGGACCGAGAGCCCGGAGCAGACAGCTCTTCATTCTGGCTGTCCTCATCTGATCAAGGACACACAGCTGATTCCATGAAAGAGATGGGGACAGAACTGAAATCTGAGCCCTCCATTAATTCCCTTATACACAGTGGTAAGAAGAAGAGTATTTTCTAGTTTTGCATGCAAACGGTGACTTTTTATATTAAAGAAAAATAATTTGAAATAATTTTAGAGTCAGGATTCCCAAGATAAAAGAATGTATAAAATAGAAATAAAGTTTATAAGATAGGCGTTAAAAGGACATCAATGAGAACAAATGTTGCTTTAAATCTCAAAAAAAGCACGTAAAGCATGGTTTATGGAGAGATGCAGGGAAAAAAGCCTATTTGGGTTTTCTCTCCAAGACAGAAAGGGCAATTTTTATTAGTGTGTCACCTTCAGGTTTAAGGTTCTGTTTCAAACAATATACATCCCAATAGTTAAATCATCATGCAGCAGCTTGAGATTTTTTGCTAGCTTGATCGTAAACACAAAACACACCTTCCATGGAACATGGAACTTTGGTGGCTTGTTAAATCTTACAGGCACAGAAATGCACAAAGCTGGTAACTACAGCACAAGACTTGTACACTATGCTGTTGACTCACTTTGAGCAGAATTCTAAATCAATCCTTGAAACATGCCCTGTGTGCTACTTACATCAAGTGGCGCCTTTGAATACTTTAACATTCCATTATCCAGGACGAAAAAACGCTGCAAGAACCAAACAACCCCTGGTTACTGTCAGGATTTTGAATTATATAAAACATTCACGAGTGTGGGTTGAACGTTGCTTGGCATTTGTAATCAGTATGTTTGATCATTTTCATGTATTTGAATTCAGTGCACCTGGCCACAGTCAGCCACATTAAACGGAAAGGGAACCTGAGCTTGAGTTCTGTACTGTATAGCTACTAGGGTTTTTACACATAATCCAACAGGGATGAAATCTTTTCACCAGAGTTTTTCTTAATGGGGGCGAGGGAGCAGTCCCAGGGCCTGAGCTAAGCCTTTCTGAATGAACCACACTGGGGTATGTTTGGAAGTGAGAAACAAGAGTAACCTGAGTTGGGTCACCGTGACTCTGTGAGGAACTTGTCTACAGGGAATGTTGCACCTTGAAGATCGACTCCTGCATGTCCCTGGCTACCATGAATGATTCTTAAAAATACCCAAGTCTGTTACAGAAGCCCGTGGACTGGACCTATGAATAATGAATTCTCTGGAAAGTTTAAAAAGTAGCCTTATCAATATGCTTGCATCTCCACTTAGCAAAATGCTTGCATTTCACTGTTAGTAAAAGAGATTAAAAATTATTTCTGAACCATGTTAAGCAGAAAAAAAACCATATATATATACATGGCGGTTTTCGTCTCTTCCAAGATACTCCTGGTCCAGTCCCAATGAATCAGCCGTTTTTGCTTCACAAACCTCACGAACTCTCTGCTATTGATTTCCTCTCCACGGACAATTGACAGGAGAACAAATAGTTCCCAGAACCGAATCAAACAGTGGGTCCAGTGCCCTCCTCTAGTCTCTACAGATGCAGGGAGTCTTTCTGTGACTGAGAAATTACTCTGCTGGGAAGTTTTCGTGTGACTCGGGAACTCTTAGCTGCTGAAGTGGCAGGCAGTCAGGCCTGGGGGCCCCCTGCACAGAACTAACAGAAGGCCACTATAACCCCTTTGTTACAGGTTCTGGGGAGGCGGGGGATCAAGCAAGCACTGGAAGGAAGAATCTCTATAGCTGAAAAAGACTTGGTTACCTAGGACTTGGGCAATCAAATAGGCTGATGCTTGAATAAATATCTGATGGCATTAGAGACCAGGAGAAAAGATAATTTAAGGGAGAACCTCTAACTATTTTCACAGCAAAATGTTCTAAGGCATTGTCCAGAAAGAGTTGCTGCTGACTCACAGCCAGCTTGGCTGAAATACGGACTGAGAGCACTAAATTAAAGTCAGCAATTCAGATAAAACATGTTTCTTGGACCCCTTTTTTCTATTTTCTCATGCCTATCTATCTATCTAAGAATTTTAGCAGGGATAACCTATAGGATGGTCACGGGGAAAGAGAATGAGCGAAGCCACCGACTTGAGGAATTGCAAAATCATTAAGATCAGAATGAAAGGCAAGGTGACTCCAGGAAGAAGTACGGCCAGTTGAACAAAATCCAAAAAACAACAAGGGTAGAGAGAGATCCTGGCCCTGGTATAATATTATGGGTTCCGGGGAGGGCCAAGATTTACGACAAGTGAGGGGAAGAAGACTCTTTGACCTGCTTTTATTCCATATTCAGAGACAGGGAATTGAGGCAACATTTTCCATCTGTTAATTTTTAAGTCCTTCCCTTAAATTGCAAAAAAATACATTTCTCTGAAGATACTATAATCCATAACCTTCCTGCTTGGGCAGTGGGCAGCCATCGCCCAGCCATTTGCACCCACAAATCCATCTGCCTTGAGATGAAATCCATGCAGCAAGTAATGAACCTGTTCTCGCGGTGGTTTCAGAGAAGATCCTGGTCATCTACCAAAGGGCTTTTACTGAAAATGGAGGACAACATTCCTACCCTTACCATCACAGAATTCTTGCCACACAGGTCATTACAACAATATAGTGCAAAATACCTTCTCCATACTTAAAACTAAAAGATGGAAAAATGATGTGGAGTAGGGGAGAGAGGAATAAACCATATACGTCCAAGGGCAGTAAATAGACTTCCAAGATCAGTGATATTCCATCAGCAATAGGGAACTGGTCAATAATGGTGGGATACAGTATAAATCCCTTCAACGGAATACATACATGCATTTAAAAACATCTCAGAATACTTAATAAGAACAAATTCGTACTAATTTAAGTTAAAAAAAGCAGAATAGACAACAATATGTCTCAACTGGATTTTAAATATCATGTAAAATGTTTTTTCCCTTACATACAGATATTATGCAAGATCTTAAGATCTCAGACTTAAGTATGACAGATTGCGGCCTGTAAGGTTAAAATAAGCCTTGAAGGTTACACATATCACTATATTCTTGGTTTACCACCTAATGGCACCAAATAAGAGCCTCTCTATTTATGAAGATGATCTGAAGGTGAATATGATGAAAATGTTACCTTGTGCCAGCCTTTTAAAGGCCATTTTCTCTTCTTTAGCATAAAGCCTTCATGTTTGTCTGGTCTCTGGACATTGGTTTGGCCTATTTTCAGCCCTTCTATAATTTCCCAGCTGTCGGCTTCCTGAGAGAAAAGAAGAAAAGCAAATCACATGTTTCTCAGTGTTTGATGACACTTAAAGCAGATTCTTAAGTAGAAGTTGCCTTTGAAGAAATACTTGACCCACCAGACGTATGAACAACATTCTGGGGCAAATTCTAACATCAGACACAGCTATGTACTTATCACTGCAGTGAGAGCGAGTTTCCGGGGACACCTGCAGGTGTGCGGGTCCAGCAGAGATGAGGTGGAGCTGGAGTCTGGGGTAGGGTAGAATTTTGATTTCCTGCATTCATAAGGTTTAAAATGCATTTTCCCAGACAGTTCCTTTGCACAGAGGCACTTTAAATTTTAAATAAGACCACTTTGATGAAACATGTTCAATTAGCACATGGGCCTGGCTTTCTGTGTAGAAATGAAAAGTTTACAGCAGCCTAAGTGGCTCCTAACCTATTAAGCTGAAGAGCAGTGCTGTGGGCATCTGTTTCCTCTTGGGAAGGCTGCATGCATTGTAGAGAGCACATAAAACACCCAGCTCTCCGAACACACACCAAGAAGTCCATGCTTTCGAAGCGCTCGTCCTGAGATTCACACATCCTTGGGAGCCCATGGAAAGAGCACTACATCGCACAGCCAGGAATCTGAGATTCTAAAGTCCAAGCTATCATCCTCCTCTGTTAAAAACAGACTAAATCATGGTTTCCTCTTCCATAAGATGTTTTGTGCGTCTTTGGTGTTTAAAAAAAAAGTTTCGAAATTCAATTGTCAACATTTAAAAGTCAAAAGATTTCAGACTTTAAAAACTCAAATTTCTAGTGTTTTGTGAAAGCTTAAGATCTGGCAATGCTGGTCCTGCCACAATGGCTGGCTGTCCATCTTCAGTCTGCCCCAGTTACCCCTGGGTCTGCTTCCATGCTGGGTACCTGCTCCTTAGCAACATCCTGGGTTTAAATCCTTGGACCAGGTGATTTCCAAGGGCCCATGCAGCTCTGAAGTAGCCGTTGACCTGGCAAACACTCATATGCTAATCTTGGGCATGGAGCACAATTAAGCAGACGCAGAGGCAGGAACGAGGTCACATCCCATGTACAACTGCTACAGTCCTGCCCACGGCACAGGGAAGCAAAATCTCTCAGCGTAACCTGCTCAGTTGCCTTGGCTCTGGAAAGCTGGATACAGCTCCCTGTGTCAGGGCGGGCCCCTCTGCAGAACGCTCTATCCCAAATTGACTCAGGAGGCTGCCTTCTGAGAAGATACTGAGGTGGGAAGCCCTATAAAAAAGACCAGCAGGACCCCTAGGGAGGTCTACTACCCTCCTGCCAGCACCATCCGGTTCCCTGGGCCAGTGGCTCTAACTCACTTTTTGCCTCTCAAACTGCTTACTTCTAGGAAAGTGGAACTTACCCCTAAAATTCT